AAAATGCCAGGTCTAGTCATGCACAAATATAGTAACCTTCCCAATGGCCTTAACATACCCTTATCTCTGAGGGTTTCTCCATCCAACGTGTATTATTCACTTCCATTGTTAGTTGATAAATTCTTATTGTATTTTAAGTTGGAGAGTAAGTCTCCCTTGCCTTATCCCAAATAGCATTGGCTGTAGAAAGAACAAGAAGTTCCAATTTATATTTGGCTGCATAAAATCCACTAGTCATGGCATTACCATTAAGTTTTCTTGTTCCCATTTAGAGTGCTAAGGATCTTCAGCCCCCAATATATCCCACCTTACCTCGTTCTCCAACCCCCAATTTACAACTTACCAACCTATACTCATTCAAGGTAGTTTTTCCCATCTAGTTTAACCATAGAAATGGGAGTATTTGGGGTTTCATCATATAACCAGAATTGGACACCATTGCACTAAAGCTAGAATGACAATTCAATGAACTTTTTTTTATCATCAAAGGAGAATTTTTTTTGAAATTAAAGTTAAAAAGTTTTACAAATTTGTGTATGGACTAGAAGTCCCGCACTATTACATATTTCTGTCCCTTTTTACAATGCAGCCCAAAACAATTGTTGCCTCAAAGCCCCTTGTTTAGCAAGATAATCAGCTAGCCCATTTGCACTCCTAACCCATTTGAATTCTGCCTCTACCTCCCTTGCAACCTTTTCCACTTCCCTTATCACTTGTTTGAAAGTCCACGGAATAGTTCTATTGTTTTTAGCCCAAGAGATGATCACCTTGGAATCCCCTTCAACCTCAGTATGCCTCATTCCTAGTTGCTTGGCTATCTTCAATCCTTGTAGCAATGCCATTACCTCAGCTTTTAGAGAGTTGCCCATGCCGATAGGTCCAGAGAATAATGCTAATATTCTCCTTTCAAAATTTCTGATTACTCCCCCGATACCTGACAATCCCAGATTTCCAAATGAACATCCATCAAAATTCAGTTTAATTCTGTTACCATCTAGAGGTTTCCATTCCGTCCTGACTTTCTCTTTCACTCTTGAAGATTGTGCTACTTCTGTCCAGGATCTTATAATGTTTGTGACTGAGAACTCTTGGAAAATATGCAAAGAACTTACCCAATGAAATACTTTTAACTTCGATTGTGTCAATTACCTCCTCCATTGTTCTACTCTTGTCCAAGAAAATTCTATTATTCCTTTCATCCCATATCACCCAACAAGTAGCTGCCTTTGTAGCTTTCCACATAACCTTCCCTCTTTTCTTTGATTGCCTCAAAAAGTCTCAGTTGAAAAGTTGGAAAATATGCAAAGAACTTACCCAATGAGCTACTTTAACTTTGATTGTGTCAATTACCTCCTCCATTGTTCTACTCTTGTCCAAGAAAATTTTATTATTCCTTTCCTCCCATATCACCCAACAAGTAGCTGCCTTTGTAGCTTTCCACATAACCTTCCCTATTTTCTTTGATTGCCTCAAAAAGTCTCGGTTGAAAAGTCCTGCCACATCTTGAGGGGGAACCCACCTGCAACCAAAGAGAAGACAAAAAGATTCCCAAATATGATGCATAAAAGAACAAGATAATAATAGATGTGTCAAGGTCTCACCATTTTCCTTACAAAGGGAGCACATGTAAGGAGAAAGGCAAGCATAAGGCCTTCTTTTCTGCAGCATATCACACGTGTTAACCTTGCCAAGGAAAATTTCCCAACAGAATACTTGAATTTTTGGGGGGATAGGCTTACTCCAAATTTCTTTTATAGGGAAGTCCCCAACCGGGTTGCTAGGTGTGGCAAGAACATTAAAGAAAGAGGAACAAGAGAAGAGGCCGTCTACGGAGCCTTTCCAAATTCTGGAATCTTCCAAGGACGAGTCCAAATGAACTTGTCCTATTAGATCTAACAGTTGAATTAAAGAGGCACATTCATTTTCCCTAAGGCCCCTCCTGAAACCCAGATTCCAATTGACCCCACTTGGGCCAGGATTACCCAAAGAGCTTATTGTTTCCCCTTTGAAGTTTGACAAAGTGTATAGGTCAGGGAAGAGGTCTTTGAGTGGACTATCTCCCACCAAAGGTCTTCCCAAAAACGAACTTTATTACCCAGGCTCACATCAAACCGAATGGAATTAAGGAATGTTGGGTAAATTTCATAGATTGCTTTCCAAGGAGAAGATGAGGAAACATGAGGGGCAACTTTTGCATCCCAACCATTTCCATCCAAACCATGAATACTCGCAATGACTTTGTGCCACAGCCTATCTCTCTCAAATGGGAATCTCCACAGCCATTTTCCTAACAGAGCTGAGTTCCTAAGTAAAATATTTCCTATTCCCAAACCCCCTTTATCCTTGGGCTTTCTAACTTGATCTTAATTTATCAGGTGATCCTTCCTCTCCTCTCCTGGGTCCCAAAGGAAATCTCTCATGTATTTTTCTAACCTCCTTCCCACTCTACAGGGTATTCTAAAAGTTGAGAGGAAGTAAATAGGGAGGTTTGTCAGCGTGGCTCTTATTAGTGTTATCTACCAAGAGAGATGTAATTCCTCCTCCACAGAGCTAGCTTCCTAGCAAATCTTTCTATGATTGGCTTCCAAAAACCTTCTGACCTAGGGTTACCACCTAAAGGTAACCCCAAATTGCTAATTGGCCAACTTCTAATCTCACACCCCAAAATCTCTACAAATCTATTAAGTTCCCCTTCCTCTAGATTGATCCCTACAATGCCTGTTTTAGTTCAACTTATCCTTAAACCTGTTATCCCCACAAAGCTATCCAATAGCAGCTTTAGATTAACCACACCTTCCTCGTTACCTACCTCACAAAAGAAGATTGTGTCATCTGCAAATTGAAGGTGGGTAACAACCTCTTGATTTCTACCTATCCTCCACCCTCTAAACAAACCTTGGAAGTCAGCTTTCGCCACCATTCTGCTTAACACCTCAGCCACTAAAGTGAAGAGAAAAGGGGATAAGGGGTCTCCTTGCCTAATTCCTCTCTCAGCCGGAAAGAAATCCTTCGCTACTCCATTAATAAGAATTGAATAATGGGCAGAACTTAGACATCCTCTGATCCAGGATCTCCACTTGGTTCCAAATCCCAACCTTTCTAGCATTTGAAGTAGCACTTCCTAGTTAACCATATCATAACCTTTCTCTAGGTCCACCTTACACACCAACCCTTTTCCTCTACCCTTTCTTTTTTCTACAACACACTCATTGGCTACTAAAATTTGATCCACATTTTGCCTACCTTCCACAAAGGCACCTTGGAATGGCGAAATGATCGATGGAAGCACTCTTTTAATCCTTTCTGAGAGAACCTTTGCAATAATTTTATATATACTCCCAACAAGACTAATTGGTCTATAGTCTTTAGGGGTTCTGGCCTCCCTCCTCTTCGGGATTAAAGTGATAAAAGTGGCATTCACCCCTCGAGGCACCTCTCCTTTGAGAAAGAATTCATTGAACACTTCCAGAATATCAGTTTTCAGCAAATCCCAACATTCTTGATAAAAGGCCATTGAAAATCCATCCGGCCTGGGGGCTTTTGATCTTTCCATGGACAAGATTGCATTCTTAATTTCTTCCAAAGTGAAATTCCTATCCAAAGACAAAGACTGTTCTTCTGAGAGCCTATCCCCTTCCATTTCTGGTAGTTCTATTGTCACCCCACTTGAGCTTGTGAAGATTTCTTTGAAATAATTAACAAAGATCCTTGTGATCTCCTGGCTCTCTCTTACTTCTTGACCCCCCCTCCTCCACACTAAAGATCAAATTTTTCTTTCTACAACACTACAGACAAGTCACAGACGCCACACACAACCACAGCTACACCTCTAGTGTCAAATGACAGAACCTATTGGTCTTATGAGGAGCTAAAACAGCACTGGAGATTTCAAATGAAGAATTCTCAAAACTTCTTAGAATCTATCCCTATTTGGTTTTGGCAGTCAGAAAATATATATTGGATCAAACTTAAGTGACCCAACATGATCTTCTACTCTCACAAAGTCTCACCAATTGAGAAACTTCAAAGATATTTTTTTCTGGAAATTCAGAATAGATTCTTCTCTAGAACCTCATGCCTAGGTAGGAAAACAAAAAACAAAAAAAAAATGAAGCAGCCTATAAGAATAGGAGATTCAAACAATAACGAGGAGATTGGTCAGTTATTTCTCCCACCATATGATCCCTGACCTACATGTGGCTTCCACCTCATCTTGCCTGAGAGCAATCAGATGTGCAATCAATTATTTGAGCAATAGGCTATAATACCAACTTGTAAGATGCTCCCTTAATGTGATAAGCAGAAAACAAATACCAGAAAATTAGAACAGTGATCGAGAGAAAGAAAGAAAAAATGAGAGAGAGAGAGAGAGAGAGATGCACAAGTGAAACATAGAACTTCAGACAGCCACTGACTGCCTTTTCTTTGTATTTATTTTATACGTGGGGTTACAAGTAATAACAAAATGACTAAACTACCCTTTATTAACACCACAAAAGACCCAATTACCCACACTAAGAAAAGACTTGTATACCCAATAAAATAAAGATAAAAATACTAAACTACCCCATAAGTATTAGAAATTAAACAGTAAGAATTATTCTCTACACCCACAAAAACCAAATGTGACTAAAACATACTAAGTTACTAACAGCCAAAGACTTATTGATAATAAATTGAATTTTGATGATCTCGAAAAAAGAAAGCCTAGAAGACTGAAATAATTCTTGAAATGCTTCAAGTAGGAAGAAATGAAAGAAGTCATAACATAGATACAACAACACAATAATACAGATAAGGAATTTGATCTATTGTAACCCAATACTAATAAAACACCATCTCACCTTTTTATTTTCTTAACAACCAGAAAGCATTTAAGAACTCTAGTTAATGTACTGAGTAATTAAAAGCATTCCATTACAGGCACTTTTTGGCACCTAACATTTAAATAAATATCCTCAGAAGCAGCACACCATCAATGTTAACAAGTTGTATTGTACCTCACTTTGCGTTAATGGTCTATCTGCAGAAATAACAAAAAGGATCAAATCTGCACGTGGCACAAACTCTTCAGTAAGGCGCTGCTGCCTTTGGAGAATCACATTAGTTCCTGGTGTATCAACAAGGTTCATCTGCTTCACAAACAGATTAGAAAAGGTCAACCCCACACCACAAAGCAATTGTTAACTTAAGGCAAGCAATTAGGAAGAAAAGCTTCCTATCAAAGAAAAAAAGAAGAAAATAAAAAAGACATGCAGGGTGCTACAAGCATTACCATTGAAGGGGATTCCAAGGTAGTAACAAGGTGGTTGGGGATCAATCAGGAGGGCACATGGCAATATAGGAATATGATCAGGGAAATCAGAAGCCTAATGGAGTAAATGAGGACAAGAGTGGAATGGGTCCCTCGGCTGCCAATAGCCTCACAGATAGGTTGGCAAAACAGGGTGCTACAAGAACTATTTGTTTTGGGAGAGTTGTAAATCTAACAGCAGGGGTGGCAAGCTGAGTCTTTCTTTTCTTTTTTTTTTTTTTGATAATTAAAAAGGATCAATTTCATTAATAAAACTAGTGCAGTTACGAGATTCCCTTGGAGAGGCACGAGCTGCGTCCTCTCCTACCAGTAGGAAGAAAGGCGAAAGATAGAAAACAGATTCAGTCTACAATTGAGCCAAATACAAACTTTCCCTATTTACTCCTTGCTTTGCAAGACCATCAGCCATAGAGTTTGCTGACCTCCCCACCCATTGTATTCTCACTGTCAAGCTTCTTGTTAGGCAGTTGAACTTTTTAATTTCATTCTTAAAACACCACACTACATATTCTGGATTTTGTAGCCAGCCCACTACCACCTTGGAGTCCCCTTTTATTATCAATTGTTCCACACCTATCTGCACTGCTAACTGTACTCCCTGGATAGCGGCAGCAAGTTCCACCCTAGTAGAGTTTCCAACTCCTATGGGTCCTGAGAAAATAAGAACCACATTCCCACTCTCACTCCTCAGCACCCCTCCCACCCCTGACGGACCAGGATTACCAAGACTACTCCCGTCGAAATTCAGCTTCAAGAATCTTTCAGGAGGGGGTTCCCAAGCCATGCTCACTTTAGTTTTTATGGATGAGCAATTATGCACTGCTAACCAATTCCTCCACACATCACTGAATGAGATATGATGGAATAGGTCCAGTGATTTTAGCCATA